CATGACCTCGGATGACCTGAGTGGGACGCTGGAACAGGTGAGGGAGCTGAAGCGGCAGGATCTGTGCTGGAGGCAGCCACTGCGCGCCCTTTATACTGGACCCGCCGCACGCCCACGCCCACGCCCTTGCGACGCTCGCCGGGGTTCCTACCAGTCGCGGGGAACTGCCACAAAGCTATGTAAATATCCTTCGGCGATGAACTGCCAAGATTAACGTTAGATCTAATTTATAAGTAGGAATATGATATACAGAATTTATCATTATCATTATTATTATTACTATTATGATGATTATAATTACTATCATTATTATCATCATTATCGTTATTACTATTACCATTATCATTATTATTATTATCATCATCATCATCATCATCATCATCGTCATCATTGTTATTATTATTATCATTATCATCATCAGCAGCATTATCATTATTATTATCATTATAGTTATGGTTATCACTTTATTATATTAAGGCTAGTATTATTCATGTTATTTATGTTACGATTGTCAGCATTATTTTCATCCTCTGACAACCGACAATTTCGAAGCGCCATCGATTTCGTCGCTCGAACGTCACAACCGCGTTATAATTGTCTGTTGTGGTTGACTGTTCTTTTTTAATTGTTTCAGTCGTTCCTATGATGGTTCTCTGCTCTGTAGATTTACAAAACGTATGAATAATGATAGCAGAGAAATTTTTGGAAAGCTAAGTATGCTGATGTTGAATGCAAGCGTTATTGAGAAGAGAACGGCATCAGAAACTGCAGAAATCCATTGGTAGTGATAGTGTCATAGTATAGTCGATATGAAAAAAAAAAATGTTTCCCAATAGCTGAATGAATGAATGGATAAATAAATAAATGATTATATATATATACATATATTTTTGGTGAAATGTCTCTGCACAGTGCTTAGTTCTCTGTTAGTGCTTAGCCACAAAGGAGTCAGTTAACTGACCTTGTGAACTTACCTGATTTGAATTGGCGGGAAAAACATCTTTTACTAGTGCTATTTTTTTATGGTGTTATTTTTATTATAAACATTATAATTACTATAATGTTATAAACATTAGTAACAGGAAAATAAGATAACGTAGAATATTTTTGTAAATCAAAGAAAAGGGTAAACGGGTGAGACAGGCAGTACTCATAATTGACTCATTGGTGACTTAGTACAAGTGTAGCCATCTATCTGTTAAAACAATCAAACAAGTAAACTCACAGTGGGCATGGCATACACGTACGCGTCATTCCCGTCGGCATTGGGTTAAATATATATATATACTGCCGCGATGGTCCAGTAGTTAGAGCACTGGACTCCGACCCTCGTGGTCCCGAGTTCAATTCTCCGTCGCGGCGGTCGTAAAACTGCCTGCGCTCTGACTGCTGGTTCGAGCCCGAGAAAACGACATATCGTCTTGAGAAGTCAAACGCAGGTGTCGTAGGGGAAGTCACCGCCGTGGTACAGGTGTTAGCGCGCCGAATCGCGGTTGATTAAGGACATCCAATCAGGCAACGGTGGCACTGCCATATAATTTCTCAATAGCGAATTGAGAGAGGCCTATGTCCTGCAGTGGAATGAATGGCTGTTAGAAAAGAATATATACATATATAATGTATATATATATATATATATATATATATATATATATATATATATATATATATGTATATATATATGTATAATATATATATATAATGTATATATATAATTATAAACATAATGTATATATATAGATAGATAGATAGATATATGCACACATTCGAGTCCTAGTCAGGGAAAGCTTTTATATATCTCACATATGAACCGCGGTGCATCTAACTTCGGTTTCGAATTCCTAAATCAATTTCCACCGAGTACCCACGGGGAGTGTATGCGAAACCTCGCTATCATTACTCATGTATGAGTAGACGGGTAATGTCTATGCAGCTTGTTAGATCCTAGAAGTACATTCCTTTAAGTGGGTCGTGTAGTACTGTTGGTTTAGTGCTAACCCTCCGCTTCATACCTGGGGTGACCTAAATTGCCGTATGTGTGTGTGTGCATTATATTTATCTCCCATATCCCGCTGATGAACATTTTAGAGCTAATTTCCAGTCCTTCCGACAACATAAGATTCTTTTCCGTCCGGCGAGCGTCGCAAGGGCGTGGGCGTGGGCGTGCGGCGGGGCCGGTATAAAGGGCGCGCAGTGGCCGCCTCCAGCACAGTTCCTGCCGCTTCAGCTCCCTCACCTGTTCCAGCGTCCCACTCAGGTCATCCGAGGTCATGATGCACAAGCTGCAGGTGTTGCTGCTGGTGGTGTGCGTGGCGGTGGGCCCCAGCCTGGCCCAGATCACCTTCTCGCGCTCGTGGGTGCCGCAGGGGAAGCGCTCGGGGGCCCCGATGTCCTCTGGGGCTCCTTCTGACCTGGGGGGGAGCTGCTACGACGCCTGCGTAGATGTCCTTACGCAGTTCGATGCTAAGATTAGTGTAAGTTCTATATTATGAACATCTTATTGAGAAAAAAGTCTGTGCGTGTTTGTGAGGGAGAGAGAGAGAGACAGAGGAGAGAGATGAGAGAGAGACAGAGAGGGAGAGAGAAGAAAATGAGAGAGACAGAGAGGGAGTGAGAAGAAAGAGAGAGAGACAGAAAGGGAGAGAGAGAAATTAGCTATAATTTCATACTAATATCCAATTCAATTATCTAATAAATTGTTCAAATTGTCCAGAAATCATAAGAATACGTTTGTTTGTTTAAGAGCCAGTTCCACACTTTATGAGAATGTTATCATATACGACGTAAAGACGGAGAAAAAATCAACTTTTGATTTTATTTCTTTTAGGACTTAATCAGGACTGCTCACGAGACCAACAGTGCAGATTCTCGTCTGAGAAAGTTCAACGGCTTAAAGTAAGTCTGATAGTTATATGACTAATGCAGGAAGAGAAAAATGATCGAGATGCTTTTATTGAATGTGGACTACATAGAACAAGGGCGCATATACACTCATATATATATATATATATATATATATATATATATATATATATATATATATATATATATATAAGCAAAAATACACACACACCACACACACACACTACGCATACACACACAAGCACCACACATACCCACACACACATACACTATACACACACACAAACGCACACACTACACACACACACTCCACACACACACACACACACACATATATGTATGTATGTATATATATGTATATGTATACACACTTACACACACACATACACACACACACACACAAACACATACACACACACACACACACACACACACACACACACATATATATATATTAGTGTGTGTGTACATATATTTATACAAATCTAAGTACATTATATGTATGCATGTATACATGCTAAAGAATTTAGAGGAAAAAAATAATCAAACCAGAGGAATCTCTTTCTACCGACGATCTCTTGCTTATCCCTTTAAAAATCTTCTTTTCAGACAAGGAAGAAATGTCTAGGACGGAGAACGCCACACGAGATGTTAAAGAAAACTCACTTAGATAAAGATAAAACTACGGAACACAAGCAAACAACCTTTAAGGGAAAACGTGTACTAAATAAATTAGTATTATTCCCTTTTTTGCTATTTTATTAACCATGGATTTATAGTTCTGTGAGGAAACTAAATGATGAAAAAAATGTATATATATATATGCATTTATTACCTTACATATATATACATATATAGAGATAGATATAGATATATATGCATATACACATACATATATATATCTATGTATATACATGTACATATATATACATATATATATATATATATATATATATATATATATATATATATATATATATATATACATATATTGTGTGTATGTATGCATGTATATATATACACACACACACGCACACACACATATATATATACATATATATACATATATATATATATATATATATATATATATATATATATACATATATATACATATATATATATACATATATATACATATATATACACACACCACACACACACACACAAACACGCACACACACACACATATGTGTTTATATATATACATATAGTTAATTGTTCTTCATCAGATTCCTGATGAAGAACAGTTCATCAGGAATCTTGCTGAGGAGGCTGAAGGCTATTTCTTCGTAAATGACATTCGCCCTGCCTACCAAGCCCTAAGAAAACTGAATCCCAATCCTTCCTTGGAGATGACTGCAATCTGCTCAATGGATGGACAAATCATCTCAGATGATGGGGTTCGTAAACGGGCTGAGTATTGTGAGCAACTGTACCAGATAGGCCCTCCAGTAGTTAGTCTGGATACAAGCGGTGTCACAGTACCTGTGTCGGACCCTACTAAGGCACCGGAGACCTGAGCAGTTTAGATTCACTCCTGGCAAGTCCACAATCGACCTTATCCTAGCGCTTCGAGTCATTGTGGAACGCCGTCGTGAGTTTGGTCGAGGGCTGCTTGCAACCTACATCGACCTCAGGAAAGCGTTCGAGATCTTGAGACTTAGGGGAATTCCAACACAAATTATTGGTTTAATAGCAAGCCTAAATACTGGTAATGAAAGTGCTGTAAAGTCTGGTGGGGGCCTGTTAAACTTCTTCCCTGTCCTTGCACCAACACTTCTCTTCACTTGCATGGACCGGATGATGGGAAGAGCTACTATCCAAAGTTAATGTAGAGCAACACTGGGAAATATCAAGGTCTCAGACCTTGACTTTGCCGATGATGTTGCTATCCTATCTGAGTCACTGGAATCGCTGGTGACGGCTCTTGATGCATTCAGCATGAAGCGAAGCCCTTGGGCCTAGAGGTCTCCTATCAAATGCCTTGGAGTCTCGTCTTGATGCTTTTTGTAACAAGTCCCTACGCTGGATCATGGGGTACAATTGCCAGGACCGACGGCCATATATATATATATATATATATATATATATATATATATATATATATATATATATATATTCATATGTATGTATAT